CCTAAAGATTTTTTTCAACTGCATAATTATATTTTTATTTCATCGTTTTTAATATGTGACACCATATTTCACCTCATATATATATATACAGGCCCGGTAACAAATGATCCAAAAATGAAGAACATTCTAGTAAATACATTTATTTATCAACTCTGGAATGGAATTTTATAATTTGAATATGCCTTTTTAATATTTATTCACTCAAATTTACTTATGTAGGTGAATTTTCAACTGCACAAGTATTTTTACAGGTGCAAAATTTTTGATCAATTGAAAACCCCTGGAAGAGGCCATAAAAATGTACAGAAAGATTGCAACAACAATAATTACAAAAGAACATCAACATACACTGGTGGGTGGGGTAGTTTTTGATGCAATTGATATATTTTTTATTTATACTGCTTACTAGCTGAATTATCCGTTCCCTGCACAGGTGTCCAAATTACTTGAAATGTGTATTTAAAAACACAATGAAATTACTTTTAATAATATTTATTTTAAAAATTCAGTTTTCATAACATTTTAATTTTTTATTGAAACCCTTCAAAACAAAAATTACACAATCTAAATTAAAGCTTCTTGATATACCACACTGGCTGTTATTCCTTCTTCTGACAATATAACCAGGTTTTGATGAGATCCAACCCTTAAACATCCTAATAGAATTGACCATGTGAAAAGCAAGGCTGCTTTAGGAGCAATCCAGCAACCCTTAAATTTGACCTTATGCCTTATTAATTGAAATTGCAAAACAAATTGTAACAGGAAATTAGAGCTTTCTAGATTCAAAGGGGAAATCACTTGATAGCAAAGGAATTATTGGAATGGAAAGATCTTCACCTCTGGCATGGCTAGTTGCTTCAATAACATGTGGCATTAAAATCTTAACACCTAAACTTGTGTCATTACATAATTTTGGAGGATCAAGATTTCTCAACAATATTATTGTTGAACTATCCTTTAATTTTAGAATGTGACCTGGCACCCCTGGTGGTTCAAGAGAATTTAGGAATTCGGTTGGGTAATTTACAGCATCGACTGTAACTGGAACAATGACAATTGCGCTGTGGATGAATTCCTGTCTAGGAACCTTTTGAAATAATTGATCACTTATGTCATGAACAGTATCATTTCAAAGTGCAAGAATGGTTCTTTTACACAACCATTAATAATTTTGACAAATACTAAGGAACACCATTTTCTTTAGCTCTTCTACATCCTTAAGTAAGTTACCACATTTGCCTGGAATGGTAATGTAGTTGTTTGATTGCTTGATTGGAAACTTTCCAACACAAACTTAAGAAAAAGATTCAGAATTAAACCACTTGTTTTTGTATCGCCGAATTAATCAAAAACAGAGAACATAGAAATAAACCACAAATTAACGTGTACATTATGCATTCAACATAAACAACATTGATGGCTTAACAACAATATCGTGATAGTTTTGTTGCTAAGCGACAATATATAGTGTTGAGTATTACCAAAATGAGCATGACATGAAGAGAGAAACTGAATTAAAAGCCAAAAATGAGTTTTTATGGGAAACCTGGTAGGAATTTTGTTCTTTCATATTACTTCCGTGGACCATAGGAGTCACCATGCCAAGTTTGGTGGTGATTGGTCAAATAGAGTGCTGGGAATTAGCGTACAGACAAATATACAATTTTGCTTTTATATATATATATACATAAAATTAATCGGATAACCTTTTAATTTGAACACCTCTTTTATATGGCATAATTGTTCATAAAAACGTTCTAAACTTTGACATAATTTGTACGTTCTATGTATTAATACATATATATTAAGCTTATTTAATACATCAAGCTTATACTAAGTTCCAATGAAGTTGTAAAAATAAACCAGAATAAATGAGTTTGTGATATTTCTTATATTCCACTTTTCCATTATTTCTGGTTACTACCATATGTTAAAAAAAAAAGGTGAATTAGAGATTTCTTCTTCTATGGTTAATTTCATACATCTATGGCATTGGTTCATATACTTACCAAATTTCTCTACGCATTATTTTCATATTTAAATACTGCAAAAGTGTCATCCATATAATACCTGTAATATATAGGTTTAAATTCAACAGAGCATGATTCGAAATAACTGTTTTATATAAACATAAAAGCAAGTTCGCTAATAGTAGCTAGGGGGAACCCATGATTTTACCATGAGTCTTACAGGGCAGTTTACTTTGTGAACTTTTGGTAATCAATAAAAAATCCCTGATTTACAATAGGATATTCAAATATTCTACACTATGGGTCCCACAGGGCAGTCTACTTTATGGCTTTTGGTAATCAATATTGAATACTTGGTTTATAATTAAACATTTCAATACTATACATCATGGATTCCCCAGGACAGTCTACTTTGCGAATTTCTGGTAATCAATATAAAATATCTGGTTTCTAGTTGAATATTTCAATACTATCATTAGAGTCGGTACATTATATATATATATAGGGATGACCAAGGTACTCAACAGGTATAATACAAACATGCACGCTAAAAGATCAACAATGACAGAGAGTTTTACTTTAAAATATGGTTGCCACTCACTTCCATTTGATTCTTTATCCAACAAGCCCCAAAACAAGGCAAGAAACCATCGCTAAGATACCAAACCAGAAAGTGACCAACCCACCAAATAGTTCATCTTTCTTCTTCTTGTTTCAGTCGAGATAACTCTACAACTATTTTATCACTAACGTCGGTTTAAACGAAAGTCCACTTTCTGGACAATGCACAATGCCATCGCTCAGTCGTAGTAAGTCTCATTAATCTAAGAAAATACAAATATAATTGCGCAAGAAAAAGCATGCATCTTAAATCTGAGTTTCCAGTTGCTAAGGGATGCCACCTAGCAAGATAAAAATCACTTGCAATATTCTATCTTTTGTATTTGAGTTATTTTTCAAATTTTTGTTTCGAATCAATAAATCTTTATTTTAAAAACCTGACACTCAGCTGGCATCTCTCTAGGGTGGTGTGATTAAAGTTTGAGACCCGCATGGTTAGTATACTATTAGAACTAGAAACTGATATCTGCATACAACTATTAATTCCTACGACTTTTCTTTCTATTCATCTAAAGTAAAGGCAATTCTTTACTTCATTTTAAGTTTTAGAATTGGAATGTCGTTATATATCTTATTCTGTGATATAGAGAACAACCTTTCAGATTTACTGTTGTAGTTAAAATACGCTTTATTTCTGTAAGCTTTCCCAATAAAATAATTTCCTATAAATACATGCCATCCGAAAATATTTCATTTTTGTGTACGACCTGTCAGAGAATATAATATTAGAGTTTTGGTCTCGTTTTCTCTGGATTACAAAATAATTAAGGAAGATTGTGATGATGGTGCTCAGATTGAAAATTGTTAGGGTTCGGACAGTTCTATAAGCCCCCTCAGTAGCACAGCGGCATGTCTGCGGGCTTACAACTCTAGAATCCAGGTTTCGATACCCGTGGTGGGCAGAGCACAGATAGCCCATTGTGTAGCTTTGTGCTTAATTACAAACAAACAAAGAGTTCTGTAATTATTATCTGTTGTGGTAGTAAAGTGAAAAGGTTGGAATTAAATATTAACTTGGATTTCATATGTATATGTTTAAATTTCAAAAGCTTAAATGCAGACTTATTCATCGATAAAGTATTTTATGGACTGAATGGTATAAACTCCACCCCTTCCCATTCCCTCCTCCTCTTTTTTTCTTTTCTTAGGAGTAACATCGATGTATCAAACAATTATTTATGACTTAACCTAATTTTAATATAATAAATAATGATTCAACTATTCATCAATACATTTCTATCTGTGGATAGTTTATCAACTATTTTGAAACAGCTTTAAAGAAATCCTGACCGATATAATTTCACGAATTTTTAGCCATTGCTTTTTTCTTTTCTATTTTTACCTTCATATCACCAGATGGCTAATGATAGTAGTGTTCCTCGACCAATAAAACTTATTTTCATATAGGATAATAAGAAGACTGTTGTTTTAAGTATATAGAAATTGTTAAACCGAAGTCTAAGAGGATGTGATAATGTCTTTAAATTTAAGTGATATCTCATCTTTATTTAAAAAATTGAGTTAATAATTAAATATATTTTAGTATGAAAAATTATTATTCAAATAATTACTGGCTTATTTTTGTATATTTCGTCCTTTTTTGTGGAAATTTTAAGAAACTTGATAGTTACGAAGTGAATTGTTCAAATGTTTTAATTGGACAGTATCCTTTGAGTTTGAGTTTTAATTTTATGCAAGTTTATGTAAATTTGAAATATGCCTTAGATTAGAATTAAAATGTACGATAAAAATTGTAAGTTACGTTATAATGCCTCACCATATTTCAGTGTTTAAAATAATGGTTTAAAATGTTACACTGTTATTGTTATCTTCACCAATGTAGTAATGATAATGCTTTATGTAGAATATTATTAGGTGTAGGGTGTGATGTAGAACTTTTTATTTTATTTATTAATTGTAAACTTTAGTGAGTGGTTTATGTGATAAAATTTTTGTTTCCTACTAGTACGCTACAGTGTAAATAACATTGTTAGTAATATTTTTATTGGAACATTAGTATTTATCAATATAACAAATTCAGTGATTCAATTACATCTTTTATTTTAGGATCCAGCAAGCTCGTATTCTTTGTTTATGGTTGCCAGAAAAAGAAAATAGTTCTCCATAAATGTATTTAAATTTAGTACATGTCAATAAAAACTACTGTTCAAAATAGTGTTAATAAAGAGGTTGCATTTATGCAGAATTCTGCTTTATATGCAGGAAATTCAGTTAAATGCTAAAAAAATAACCATCTCATTTCTGCACTATGAATGAAACAAGCTCTACTGGCTCAAATTACCAAGTATTTTTGTACCTAATGCAACAGGAAAAATGTCCCACTGCTCCAAGCATTCAATTAAAAAAAAGGTAAGAGTTCCATATGGCACCCCCACTCAAAAATTGTAGAATTACCTGGATAAAAAAGATAAGAAGATTGTACAT